CGCCCCCTATTCCCACTTTAATCAGCCAGCCTTCCACAGATCAGGTATCACCCACCCACGCACTCTCTACCCTGCTTCCCAATCAACCTCATTCCCCATTCTTCCATCATTCAGCCCAAGACCTTCTCCACAACCTCAGGCCATCTCCCAGACCTTTACTCCCTCATGCTCCCACTGCAACCTCCATGCCTCTCCCTTTCCCATCTTTGATTTAGCAGAGTTAATATCACTAGCAGCAAAAATCCTTTCTTCCTTTCTGAAAAGTGGCAAAATATTTTACCAGAATCTCAGTCCCAAGGTTCATGGACAACCAGTGTCCACGGCGTATGGCGTCCTGAATTAAGTCTGCTCAACTAGGATGAGCTTTCTAGACTGTGCCCTCTTCAATACTCACCTCAACCCCTTCAGTAGCCTACCTGCTTCTGCCACCTCGGGAGTGGCCAAATGCTACCCAGCTCCCACCTTGGTTTGAGGGTGAGATCCTGAGAAACTATGAGGTTCACCGGCAGGCACGAATCAGCTTTTATAGAGTCCCGGCTCAGCAGAAGGTAGGATAGGACATGTTCCCACCCTCCCTGGACCCACCTATCACAGCCCTCCTTGTACCCACCTATCACAGCCTGGTTGTGAGGCAGATTTAAACTTCGCGGCTATGAACTGAAATTTGGCGCCCGGCCTCGTAGTACTTCTGGAATCAAGCCTATCACTTCCAGGGGGTATTGCTTATCTGTCCTGAGCGCACCATTTCCTGCAGAGTTTGTGGTTTGGCAATCCCCAAATTAATTTTTTGGGTGACAGGAAAAAACTTAGTTGAATCCTCCCAAAGTTCCATCCTTGTGAAAACTTAGGTAAGTGAGCCCTGTTCCCTGTTCGTTCCTTGCTTGAAAAGCCCAAACTTCTAAAGCTGTTTCGCTGCCTTCCAAAGTACTCCAAGCTGCGGGGGAGGGCACCTAGACCCCTAGATAAGACCAAAGCAGCAACCCAAAAGTGCTTGGCAACACTGATGTCTGCTTCCAAAACCCTTCGAGGGATTGGTTACTTGAAGCTTTTTGGCTTCAAACACACCAAGGAAAACAAACGGGAAAAGCAAATGTTTTCTAGATTGTGCTTGTTTCCCTGGGAGACACCTGTACATTTCATAATTTAACCATTTGGCCAACAGAATACAAATAACACATCCCTGCATTTAAAAATATTAATAACGCTGAGTTTATTTCATGCTAGACACTATTCCAAGTGTTTTATGTAGATTTAATCCTTTACAACACTTTAAAAAGTAGGCAGTGTTGGCACTCTCACTTCACAGCCATCACTTACATGGCTAGAAAGTGGTAGAGCAGGGATTAAACTCCAGAAGCACTAGTTCCAAAATCTAAACTCTTAAGCACCAAACTGTCTACATACAGGGGTGGGCAAATTAGGTTTACAGTTGTTCATATGAAAAATACAATAATAAATAATAATACAAGAATAAACTGTTTCAAGTACTTACAACTGTAAACCTACTTTTGTCCACCTCTGTCTATAAAGGTACTTTGAGTTGATAGGGAATTGGATAAAAGACACTTATCATTATAATCTCTGTAACAAACTTAGAAGTTTACCTCTTTACAAGCCTCTTCTATAAAAATGGGGGTGTGGTTATAGAAGTGTGTGTCCCAGAGGTTTGGGCAAAGAACCTGAATGTTAGCTATACTTAATAAGAGCCATGTGCTTCAAGTTAACAAGTGGGTTAAGACTGGAATCAAATCTTAAGTTACACAAGTTTATTCAAGGTGCACATGCAATTCCTTTAATAACTGATGCAGATTCCTAACAAAGAAGAGAGTGGGAGTAAGAACTTTTATGAGTAGGCTACTGCACACCTTTCTTCTTCCCCCACTATCTTTTAGGAAACAAACTAATCTGCATTAGGGCTTTGAGGGTCACAATCCACAGAAGTTGTGAGGTAAATTACCTGAAATTTTATTGAAAAAGATTCTCCTCTCTG